CATAGGCAGCTACGCGTAGGTTCGACAAGGATTCAAAAATTCTTTTAAAAGTCTAAAGTGAAAATGGCATTTTAGCCTTCAAATAAGTAAAGATTGTTCAATGCCAAGAAAGCTTTATGGTAAGACAGGTTCTGAGAAACGAAAGCTTCGCATTTATGCTTTCGTTTCTCGGAACCTGTCTTAACATAAAAGAAGCTAAGTATGTAACGATAAACTGTAAGGATCAGCTGACTTTGTTCTTCCTTAAAGCTGTAGTATTATTTTCACTTAGTGATCAAAGCGTAGGCCATATTGAGTAAGAAATCTGTCAATAGGGCAATCAGCGTTTCAAACTTTTAACAAAAACAAACGACTAAGATTATATCTCACAGTGTTGATTAGATATGCACATTAAAAAGATTGCCCATTAATCTGTTAGGCCCAGAGCTCGATCATCAAATTTCTACCATCGAGGAAAAAACAATGAAGGAACAAATTATCGCTTTCAAATTTTGAAGGCCTGGATGCGTTATGATAGTATCCCAGAAAACCTCACACTGATATCTCATAACCTTTATTTGCAGCATCCTTAGTTCTTGAAAGAACATGGAATCACAAAACCTCGTCACTCCGACTTCTATATAGGCAGACGGTCTGATCAGTTAAGTTTGTGCTCAGCAATGATAGCGCTGATGAATGCTACTATTAGAACAACCTAGCGATAAGAAGCGTAAGGGCTACAAATCGCCACGATAAACTACTTCCGACGAGGTTATCAGTTATCGCCTCCATCGGCTATAAATAACACTTCATCCATTTCAAAGCGGTGACACATGTTGCTGAGATATCTGCTAGTGTGTGGACTTTTCCACTTTGGCACAAGCTCATTGCTTGAGGTAATCATTCACCCCTTTTCTATTTTTTACAATTATTTAGCTGGAGTTATTTCATAATTATTCATTATCTTCCATTTCTATTTGATCACAGATATGCAACCTAAGTATTCATACCAGCACCTCGAAAAAACCATTTCTCAAATCACATTTTTCCTGCGTTTAACGCTATTTAGCCCATTAAACATTTAATTTGAGTTTGTGCATGGTTTAATTAGAGATATTTCTAAAAAACAGAAGTAAAATCATTTCGTTGTGCTTGCAAAACATAATGGCATCTGGAAACTGCATTTTTACTTAATACCATGTCTTACAAATATGCAATTTCTCTTAAAAAATTTACAAGAAATTCTTTAAACACTAGGTAATGTCGTGCGCTCAACTTCCTTTTCCAGCAATTTTCTTCACTTCACAACTTGAAATCGGATGTGTCGGAACAATGCCGAACAGACGTTGCTATATTCACAGAAAGTCTTGCCATATTCTCCGCCACCGTTGCAAGTTGCAACGGCAGCTGTAGTGAAGAGCAAAAGAAGATTCTGGAAAAGAACTTGTTCTCTGTTAAGGGTGAGTTAATGATTTGTTTTAAATTTAGTAATCAACTAACCTTATCTGCGAATATTATGAAACGTTAATTTAAGAGAGCCCACTCATTATTTCTGAGTGTATTATCACATTGCTTATGACTGGCAATGACTTTTATAAGACGTTTGTGAAAAAATACTGTTTCCTATCCACTTTTGCCTACCAAAGCTAAGCCAAGAAAGGGTCCACCTTTCCGCCTAGGAATCAAAGGATCCCATACGGTCAAAAAAGGGAGGGAGAAGGGAATGGAAGTGCGCCCAAACTTGCGAAATCTTTTTGACCTTTGTTGCCTTTCACTCATCGTTCACAAGTAATGTTCCCGCCTCTTTCCCCTCCTACGATCTCCTCCGTTCCTCCTCCTTCTTCTATCCTTTACCATTTAGAGATCGATGCGTTTGGAAAACTGCCAGCTGGACTACTGGAAGTTACCCTTGTCAGTCCGGGTTCATACAGCGAATGCATGAGTCTTGTTGCTCCATACGATGTTCATTATTGTTATGCTACTGCCAAAATTGCAAATCAGGTACTTTGAATTGAGTATTTACATCTACACAGGCAATATCTTAAGCTTACAGACTGGTTCACCTATTGGTATAAAAATGGCTGTTTGTATGCCGAAAAGCTG